GGCAGTGTGAGTGCAGCCCACTGGCTTTGGCTCTCAGCAAGGGAGCCCTGGGCTGGGTGGCGAGGAGCCCCTGGTCCATCAGCAGAGGCTGGGTTTAATGCAGGGGCTGCCTGGTATTGCAAACAGAAGGGAGCATTGACAGAGAGACTGAGAGAAATCAGACCAAGAACATGTTTCTGAAAGGACTTTCTGAACCCTGCATCTCCAAATTACACATTTGTCATGCTTTTTGCATTCTATCTTGCAAATACTCCATTTGATAATGGTTGTTTTCTAATGGTGTCATTTTCACCTAAGCACTCAGTGATGTAATGGAAAGAGGAGTGTATTAAACTCCTCTTACCATCTCTGACCTAGGATTACAAACCTCTTTCTCAAGAGGCAGGCTGAGATTAGACTAAACACAGGTATGCTGCTTCCCAGGTCTGTGTACTAACATATTTCTCACCCACTCGCTACCATAGCCTGCCAGATTGAACTTGGTGTTGTGTAAAGGTTTTTGACTCCAATTTCTCAAAAAAAAAATATGCATGCAGCAGAATCACAGAATCATAGAATCATTTAGGTTGGAAAGCACCTTTAAGACCATTGAGTCCAACTGTTAACTTATGTCGTGGTTTGGCCCCAGCCAGCAACTAGGAAGGCGCAGTCACTTGCTCACTCCCCCAGCTGGGATGGGAGAGTGAATCAGAAGATTAAAAGTGAGAAAAAAGCACATGGGTTGAGATGAAGGCAGTTTAATAGGTAGAGCAAAAGCTGTGCACACAAGCAAAGTAAAACAAGGAATTCATTCACCACTTCCCATTGTCAGGCAGGTGTTCAACCCTCTCCAGGAAAGCAGGGCTCCATCACACATAACTGTCACTTGGCAAGACAAGTGCCATCACTCCAAATGTCCCCCTGCTTCCTTCTTTTTCCCCAGTTTTATATACTGAGCACGATGTTGTATGGCACGGAATACCCGTTTGGAGTCAACTGTCCCAGCCTTGTCCCTTCCCAACTTCTTTCACACTCCCAGCTTGCTTGCTGGCAGGGCAGTGTGAGGAGCAGAAAACCATCCACACTCCACCAGTAAACCGGGTCCCTAAGTTGCACGTCTACATTGCTTTTAAATACCTCCAGGGATGAGGACTCCACCACTTCCCTGGGCAGCCTGTTCCAGAAGACCTACTAAGATGTTGGGACTGAAAGGAAAAGCTCAGCCACTCACGATGGGCTTCTTTGGACCACTATAGTGAGCAGCAGTGAATTTTGGGGAAGGTGCGTAGATCTCATTTACCCTTCTCAAGAAGATAGACATAATTTACAGCCATCTTGACCAGACCTTGTTCCCACTGCAGCAGAGGTTGTCATTTTACTAAAGTTATACCCCATCTTGCTTGTGCAATCAGCTAGTCTTGGTACTCTGCTTTTTTTTTTGCTGCATCCCCATCCTCTTTCTCTTCTCCTCTTCGTCCTCATTTCTTTCCTCTTAAGAAAGTTCAGCTTCTCAGTGTAAAGCAACACAAAGCAGAGCCCGAAGGGATTTTGTGGGAGGTGTCTAGCCCATCCCCCTTGCCCACAGAAATTCAGCTATACCTAAAATTATATATGAGGTAGAGGAGGAAGGGGCAGACAGGCTGTCAGGCTGCAAGCTACTTTTGGCTTGGCTCTGATTAGCATCAAGCACAGGTGCCAAGCACCTCTTCCCTGTCAGATTTTCCATTCAGTGTGTGTCCTTAATACAGGCAGAAACTATTTTTGGTTACAACACAATCAGCTATCTTTATCAAGGGGTTTTCTACAGTGCCCATCTGTATAGCAGCCAAGCACTTCCCAGACAGATTTGGTCTTCATGGCGTGAATGAGAAAGCATTTCTCTGACAAATTATTTTAAAATAGTATGGGTAGATTTATTAACACCTTATAAAAACCTAGGCAGCTGGAGCTGAGTATAAAGTCAGGCAACAAAATGATGGGGTAAAAGCTGGTTAATGTTTTACAAGGAGTTTTCTAGACATAAAAGACCACTTTCAAAACTGATTTTTTAGAGAAATGATGCCTTTGAAAATTTTTGTTTACAATTCACTTATACATCCCAGATACACAAGCCACATAATAGACATCTTAAACTTGAGAATCTCACTTCAGTTTACTTGATTCCAGTCAGTAATTGTGGATACTCGATTTCTGTAAGTAACATCTAAGTTAAGTTTACATTGTCTCCTGAAAGGTTTGCGCCATTTAAATCAATTTAGAAATCTGTTAAGTAAATCTGACGCAAATTTAGTTATAGCAAATGTCTTAGCTAATAAATTTCTTGGGACTGGCTTATATCTTTTCTGCATGCATGGATGAAACTCAAGTGCTCTCTAGGCCTTAGTGAATAAATAATAAATGATGCAAAATAGCTTTTTGATACATAATAATATCATAACTTTAAAATGTGTTTTCCCAGGACTAGAAATGAGTGTGGTGTGTCCCTCTGGGAAGTTATTAAATACAAAGAAAAGAGAGCTATTTCTAGTGTTGGAAGCTGGTCAATGCATCTCTCACCACACCCTGGTTCCTGGCAATCGTTTACACTCATCTCTTACTCCCTTTCAAAGCAGCTGTAAATTATTGCCAGCTCAGTATGTTACACCCACCTTATCACAGGTGAAAATGAATTGCAAAGCAATGAAGATTCAGATCTGTGGTATATACATGCACAGAAAGGCCACAGCTTTAGCTTATCAGATGCCTTTATTTATCTTCACTCCATTGTAACCTCGTGTTTAATACTCCTAACCCTCTCTCAGCTAATGTGTAATCCTATGTATCAGAATTCTGTTTCTCCCTTGTTGTGTGTTCGTAAAGCTTTCTTGATCAGATTAATCTCCATTCAGACTTGAAGTGTTTTTCTGCTCACTAAACTGGTATTTAGTGATCCCTTGTGACTGTGTGGCTTGTCCTTGGTGCTCTTGGGACTTTTGGCAATCCAAAGCCTGGCCAGAGCTGAAATTGCTTACCTGATGCAGTCAAGGGGAGTATAGTCAGTGTTACAGGTGAATAAAGTTTCTTAATCTTGTTTCAATCATTTGTAAGTAATTTTAAAACATCCCGTAAAATTACTTCTTTATAAGACTAGATAACCACTTAAAAATGCCCAGTTTTTCCTCTCTGTAAAAGTTGAAATGGAGGACTTAACCTTTGATTTTCATTCCTGGCAGGAGCCGGAGAAGCTGAGCATGTTATAACTGTTCCTCTTTCCCCTTCCATTTATGGGGAAATGTCCTTCTTTTCAACAAAGCTGATGTCCCTGTTCCTCCCAGCCCCCAGTGCCCCTGCAGCTGTTAATGTGTAAAACTCAGAAGCCAGAAGCAGTTTCTTTGCAGCACACAGAGGTCTTGCCTTCTCCTCTTCTGTTAGCCACATCTCACCCCTGGGGACACTCCTAGGACAAAGAAGCAGGTACTGGCCATCAGCTTTGACAAATGAGACCTGTGACCTCAGTAGTTCAGAAACCTTCCTTGCAATATCCATTAAAATCCTTTTGCAGTCCCTTTTGCAAATATTGAAACAGTCCCTTTTGCAAATATTGAAACAAGCCTACCGGCCATAGACTTGTTTAATTGAAAATTAAAATTTAAGTACTTCCCAATTAGGAGATAAAGAAGATAAAGTTGTCTAGTCAGTCCCAACTTGATCTCTTCTTGTGAACAAGTCATCTTTAATGGTGATTGCAGACCCCTGTGCCTCCTGAGGCTCCCATGGGTGGTGATCGTTTAGCACTGGGCAGTTCAGCATGGTCAGTATGAGGCTCATCTTAAACCATCCTCCAAGTCCAGCATCTCTCATTTTCCAACAGCTTTTCTATAACGGTAGCAGTCTAATGCTATGCCAATCCTAAAGAAAATATTTCTCACTAGTGCCAAAAGATGGAGTTCAGCTATTATTCTCATTTTTGATGGCAGAGCAAGATTCAATAGTCACTAATTACAGGCCATGGTTGTTCAGAGCCCTTGGTGTATTGTGTGTGCTCAGGGTACGGGGTCCCTGCACCTCCAGTTACAGCTGAGGCAGCACCAGCTGCAAACCAGTTTGTCCTGTGCACTGAATGGACATGGGAAAAGATGGCAGTGTATGGCACCCTGTGTTTAAAAGTGGATCTATAAAATGCGCAAAAAGAGGCTGGGTATGTGACCTGCATTTCAGCACCTATTTACTAACTTTGTAACCTAAATATTCCTTCCTGTCTTTTAAGTGGGTACATGGTACATTTTTAGGTTATATTTTCAATACATTCAAAAATTCAGAAACACAACATGTTCACGTAGGAATCTGAACTTGGTATCAGCTGGACCAAACACTTTAAATTCACTATGTAAACCCCTGCCAAGTGTGTTAACAGGGTAATCCACAGCAGCAGCGGGTCCTCATCTTCCCTACTGCCTCGAAGGAAATGGAACATGTGGCCTTTAAGTTTCCCAGATGTTTGTGCATAACAGGGGAATGAGGAGATTTGAAGAAGGAGAGCCTTGGACCAATAAGGGGAAGTGGTTTTAGGACAGAACTAAAGAGAATTTGGGGCTGGAGTGTAGAACTATGGTGATTCTTTAATGCAACAAGAGATCAGCACAACAACATTTTAGGAAAGAACTTGGAAGGAAGGACAGGAGATCTTTGTGTGCTGTTCAAGCCACTGGCATCAGCGCTGACTCCCCTCGACAGCTGCTTTCAACTCAAACATGCTGGGAGGGAGTATGTAATATTTTATCTCAAGCTTCCTAAAGAGCAAATTACTCTAACAACTCATCCCCACCCAGAGGCAAAACAGAGATTTCTAATGAGGCATCACCAGGTCTCAACCAGTCTCTGAGCTGACCACCTCTGTCCTGTGGAAACATGAAGCATCTCATGACTTTTAGATCTGCTTTGCTCAGCCTTGTGCCTTCCCTCGCTTTATCCCTCGCTTTTGTTGATTCTGGTTTTTTATGTCAAAGGTTCAGACTCTTTTTTTTCCCTCTTCCTTTTGTTACAGAAGCTGTAGGTCTGTCTTCCATTAGTAATTACCTCGTGGGAGGGAGGCTACTTCACAAGAGACTATTGTCCTCTGATGTAATATACTGGTCCGGTGTCCTGCAGCCCCATTAAATTCATGTTATCCATGATGACGGTAAATTTTCTGGTTCACTTTTTTTTGTGAAAATGCCCCAGCATTTAGCTTTAGCACCTAAAATAACCTGCCAGTCTGACCTGAAGTGTTCTCTGGAGGTAGCAGCCCTGTTCAGAGAGTACTACTCTGAAATTTAGCAGCATCAAATAAAGCTCCAGATCTGACTCTTCATCTCTTTTAAGCACCCTTTTAACAGTATTTTTTTTTATAGCAGCCATCCTGGAGCTATTTTTAAATCAAACTTTTTTGCAAAACAGTCATGACCATTGTGGTCTGTGACCCATTGTTACTGCAGATGGTATGCTGTGGCTCACAAAGAAAGATTTTGCATGTGAGATTGCATGTTTAGTGGTTGTGTTCGCTAGTAATGCTGTTTATGGGTAAAAAGGATAATAATCTACGTAGATTTTTCCCCCAGTGTATACAAATGAATGGATATCAGTCTTGGATCATAGATTTAAAGTGTTTAGAGTTATCATTTTATTCTGCTTCTGTATGACTGTTTTGATCTTTTAAAAGGGCCTTTTCTTTATAACGTTACTCAAAACATATTAGTCTGATTTGTTTTATTTACGGTATTTCTCTACATTCTGGATATTTTGAGTTTTCTTTTGTAATTTCCATATTTTAATCTACTTCTCCATTCTCCTTATGTCTCTATTTTTTGCTTTCTTTTTTTCCTGTTTCCCTGCAGTTGTCTTCTGATCTGCACTCTCCCAGTGGCAGTCTGCTAGGTTTCAAGTGCACCTTCTCCCAAAGAAATTGTAAACCTCATCTTTGAAGGATTTTGTTTTATTTAGACATGTATGCCCTCATGACAGGAGTGTTTGTTTTCTTTTGTTTTTCACAGATATGCTTATGATTCACTAAGGAGATTGGCTGAATGTTGTTCCCATCCCTGGACCTTCTCCTTCTCCTTTCCACTGAGAGCAACCTCGGGCATCAGTGGATACAGAGCCTGTGGCCTTACTGAGGATGTGGCTGGACCCTGGGAGTTTGCAGTGTGTGCTGAGACTTGATTAGGCCTCAGGAATGAATCTAAAAGCCTCCCTGGAGAGCAGAAGGCACTGGACAGTGGTTGCTGCCATGCAGTAAGTAATCATTCTGGCTGGAAGCAAGGCCCCCCTGGAAGAGCAGGGGCCATGGCTGGGAGATGACACTGTGTAAATATTGCTCCTTCCATCCTGGCTTACCAAGCTGGGTTTTCCTCATTTAAAAAGTGAAGTTTTTACTGAAAGAAAAGATATCTTTTTGCGTAGTACACTTCCTGGGAAGGGTCTGAGTTGTTCCACCTCTCCAGTCAGGTGACTGTCCCATTATACCTACATGACACTTCTTCAGGAGTGATTTGTCCCCTGTAGGAGCTGAGCACTGATGATATTGCTTCCGTCTTCACATCCTGTATTGTAAATCAGGTGTCACACTGATCTGTGCACCCAATCTAAAATTAATATCGAATCTGCCAGCGTAAAAATCTGCTCTATTTAGGTATTGTTTGATTTTTTTCTCATAATTAATTATGCTTGCTTCTGTAGAGGTAATGCATATTGGTAAATTCTGTCTCTCTAGCAGGCTTTTGCAAAATTATTTTATTTGTTAAAAAATTAAGCAGCTCTTTACAAAGGCTAGACATAATTTGGTTTGTGTTTTCTTCCACTTTTTGTGTAGTTTTTTATGCTCCTTCTTTCAAATTTTGTGGTCAGTTGTCCTGTACCTTTCTGAGCTTTTGATTTTCTTCCAGTTGCTCCTTTGACTAACTCAGTCCTCTGTATGAGACTTGGTTTCCTTCAGAGCTTTCAATCTGCAAATGATGTTCTCCACTTATGGTCTAATTGCCTTTTCCAAACAGAAGTCAGAATCTTTTCTGCAATCTTGTTCTTGGTTTCGGCTCTTCGTTGTAACTTTTGCCTTAGATTAAAGATTCCATAAACCCTCCAAACAATGCAGTTGATTCAACAGTCGCATCTCTGTCCTCAAAACCTCCAAAGCATCTTTTTGATTTCTCACATGATATCCTGTTAGACATCATAAGACCTCTCTCAAAACCTTCATTCTATCTAGAATGAAGTTTTTTTTCAATGTCTCAGTCATAATCTCATTACTAGTTTGATCTTCACTTACATGCATATTATCAAACAAAGTTTGTGGTTCTCTGATGAAAAGGTGCTTTTAGTCACCTTTTTCAGTATCTTTCTTTGCCTTCATGAAGGGATCATCTTCTAGCTTGACCCAGTTGTTTGCTGTGGATTGATGGGTTCAGAGCTGTTTTGACCTTCTCAGTTCCATGCTCTTTGCTCTTTTTTTTTTCCCTTCTGTTTCTAGGTACACTCATTTGTAATTACCTCCACTCCTGGTGCCATATAGTATTGCAAGTTCACCATGCTGCCAGTTTGGCCCCAAAATTCTCTAAGTAAAATTACAAAAATCTGCTAGTATCAAAAGAAGGGTTTTCTTGCAATTTTTTTTTGTTTGTGTGTTTTTTAAGTCAATATTTGTAAAGTGCTGGTTGGCTTTTCCAGATTTTCACTGGTTTGTGTCTGCATATAAAAAAATAAACCTAAAAGGTTATGAGCACGTGAAATAGCTTTTAGAGTGGGGAACATAAAGCAACTAATACGTGGTTCCAGCCCACCATAAAGGGCACCTCTCCCACAGAAAAAAGGTCCTGGGGCAAGGTGTGCTGTTCTTGTTGAAGTGTCAGTAACGAGAATATTGACCTCCAGGGCTTCGTTATCTTCCCACCTTTTTACCTGTGAACTTTTGATCCTACATCCCTGCCTTTGGCTGTCAATATGCTCTGATTTTCTGTATCTGTACTGGAAGCCTGTAATCAAAGCTGTGCTGGGCTTTATGCGCCTAGTAGTTGAGTATAGGAACAGGCTTCAGAGTGCTTGGTGTTACACCCTTGTCATGGCATCCCTTTGGGACTGAGCTTATTCCTCCACCTCATGCTGAGCTGAATTGGGGAAATAAAGGGATGCTGACCTAATCCCACCCCTATCTGATCTGGCTGCATTTCCTGGATACTGAAGGGCAAAATCATTTGAAGGCCATTATAAGTTTATTGTTCACTTGCAGCATTTTAGTATTTGAAGAGCTATTTTGCTTCTTTATTTTGCTCTGCACAGGCAGAAGGGGCAGAGAAGGAAATGCTCTCAAGCAAATAGCTGCATAGCAGGGTTAAGGGAGGACACATCCCCAGTGTGAAAGGTTGTGAGAGTTCAGACTCATTTTGAGATCTAATGCATGCATAATGCATTTCTAATACCGTAAATAGGTAGCAGGTCATGAGAAAAACTCACATGTTTAGAGCTGGCTGGAAACCAAAGCTGTTGATCATATACAAGTAGAGTGAGCAAGGGTCACCATTTGCATGCATTAGGATAAATCCAGAGCTGGTTCATTGTGGATCACTGGGTGTTTCTAAATTTGTACTAATAGGATGAAGAAGGCCGTGATTCAATGGCATTTCACTCACTGAAGCTAATGAGCTCTTCCTGTCCCCACACTGACCACAGGATATCAGTAGATGAGGAGATGAATCTAAGCCTAAGAAAGGTATGAAATGGAAATGAATTAGTCAAGTGTAAATAAAGCCAGGACAGGAGCTCATATTCAGAGATTAGGTGACCTTAATTCACATTTGTATGACTAACTCTGAGTGCTCCACTGGCTGTCCTTTGGGTAAGGGTGTCCAGGTTCAGCTGTTTCATAAGGAATAACATGTTGAGGATATGCAGGGTAACTCCAAATTTCCTTTTAAATAGCTGGAGTTGTACATTAATTACATCTATCCATAAACATGCTGTCTTCATCCTTCAATAAGAACAAAGAACAGCTGCACTGTTGTTGTTAATTGTAATGTGAGTACGCACACATCTCTAGAGACTAACCCCTCCCAAGCTTATGTGCACATCTCAGATCTGACTTTCTGAGACATTTTGCTCTGTTTTTCATGTCCAAACTTTTCCAATTTGCTTTATGTATATATCTCTTTACAGGACCAGCAGCAGCATAAGACTTTCCTGACACAGCTGACTGGCTAGCCATGCCTGCTCTGGTCAGTGTTGAGATTTTGTAATTCAGTATAGCAAGAGGCAGTGTAAAGAAAAGTAATTTCTAGATGAAAATAGCACTTTTATTTCCCACTAGACTCTGGCTACATGAAGTGAGCCCTGAGATTGTGCAACTCACCTCCTTGTCCTCAGCACTTTGCTCCATGCTGTGACACTGGCTCAATGAAACATGCTCTTTCCTTGGGCAGATACCTTCTGAAATTTATGTTAAATTAAATGTCCTCTGTTTCTTACCTTTTACCTGCTGGTCTTAACCTTATTATCTGCTTGCTGTGACAAACCTCTCTAGCAGATGTTTCTCTGTAACTGTAACTTTGACATAAGTGCTATGATTTACATCATTACATATATGTGATTTGTGGGAACACTCAAGTTTAGGTGAAACAGGTTAAAAGTAAGCAAGTACATATGCAAGTAAATGAAGTCCTTTGAATCTGCATTGTAAACCTACATAGGGGTGAAGCCCATGTGAGAAGTGGAGGAGACTGAAGAACTTTGTTGTTTCCAGTTTGTCCATCTGCTTTGAAGACTGTTCAGGCACTGCAGGATCTGTGGACAGAACAGGTATGTTCCTCAGGTACAAGAGTCACACACTGTCTGTGGCCCTATGGGGAAGCTGAGCCTAGTGATATGGAAACCAGGCTTTATTCTCCTGTGTGACACAGATTTCATTTTTGATCTTGGGCAACTTTTGATCTTGGGCACTAGAAATACACACACAGTCGTACCTCCTTGAGGAAGGGGAGAGGGGAAAGAGAATTATTGAATATTCCATCACCAAGATACAAAGCAATAAGGAAATAAAATCATTATATACAAGTGGTGATTTCTTTAGTTTTACCAATTCAGTATGAAATCATCAAAGGTTCATCATGTCAATCTTTCAATATATTGTGTCTGTATGATGAGTGATATTTATTTGGGTGATTAATGTAGGTGAATAAAGATAAACCACAAGAGCATGTGTGTTTTCTTGATTATATCTTATAAAAGAATGTGCTTGGACAAAACAATGTTTAGATATTCCCAATTGTAAAAATACCCATTGCAAAACCAACTGAAATTGAAAGCATATTTGACTGAATCCATTTTAGTTCTCAGCCGCTTTTGAGTCTTCTTTTTTTCTGTTTCTTTTCAATTGACATGAAGTCAGTTTCTCTGCCTGGCTGGGTGAAAAATACCCATATTTTGCCTCAGTACTCACTGCAATCCCTTCAGTGATCAGCAGGGGCTCCTCTTGGACTGTGACTAACTTGGCTCGCTGCTCTCCTGCCTTGCCATTGACCAGCCCATGGTGTTTCGACAGTGGCTACCTGATATGGATCCTATAACACTGGGGAAACACATTAGGGCAATTTCGTGTTCACGAATTTTCTCTAGTTTTTCACCTCACAAATCATCCGAAAAGGGGAATAGATGGATCACCACAGATATGTCGCTTTCTGTATTCCAAAAGCCAAGCAATGAGAGAGCAGCAGCACCACCACCATGTTTAGTACAGTATGATCACTGATGGATGTGGACAGACTTTGACACAGTTTTGCTACACCTGTAGTTACTACACAATGAATTGAATATCTAGATAATAGGAAAAAATAAAACCCAAACCACACAGATGGTTTGGGTTTTATTTGGGTAAATTCAGCCCCACATTTGTGAAAATTTAAGACTTCTCTGATGAAGTATTAAATCTTCACAAATGTGGGGCTGAATTTAAGCATATCTTGAATCTGATGCTTTTGTTTGTCTGCAGTATGTTCAGTTTAACTTCCACTGAGTTCAAGGATATTTGGACTCAGTGCTTGGGCTTCACCCTTCAGTGGGAGATGAGGAGCTCGATCCAGATGACAGGGGGATGTAGCTGACTGTGGTGGCCAAGGTGGCTCATGTGATAGGGTGACCTGCATACCCAGGGTGACCAAATGACTCAGGTGCTTTCCTTCATGTGCTGCAAAAAACAGGAGCAGAAAGAAATAGCTCCATTCTACCAACAAGATTGACTAATTGGTCACAAACCTGTGTTTCTGAAATATAGATAACCTGGGAGAAATATGGTGCAAAAGTACAAGCCAGTGCCAATGAACCTGGACAGTTGGCAAATCACGTCCTTAACTCAGGTGTGGTTTAGAGGAGAGACAGCTTGCAGAGAACTGAAGAAGATGGAAAAGGTAAGTCTTTTACTAGTTTATGTTGAATAATTTATTTCATTACTGAAAATCTGAGAGGATAAATTATTTACTCAGCTATTTTCCATCAGACAAAAAACAAATCTAGTAATAAAAAACATTCCTGGAAGGCTATTATGATTTATCATGAAGAAAATTAGACTCTGAGATCAGTGGCTGTAAACTGAGTTGTAGATATGCTATACAATGGAAATTAACGAGATGTCTTTTCCATCTGGTTACAGAAATATGAAGAGCAGTAATGACTGCTGGCTCAATTTTTCCTAGCCTTTTGTAATATAAAATTCTTGATTTTTTGGAGGGGAGAGGAGGGAAGCAAATTTTTGGAAACCGGGATTAATGTGGTCTTGCTTTCTCGCTCTGCCATTCTCTATATTGTTGTTGTTCACCGAGGCTCAAATGAGAGAAGTTTTTAAAAATGGGTTTCATGTGTTCTAACTGTATGTATTCAGAGTGTAGGTGTTTGGATCCGAGCAGGCTGACAGCAGATCTTTGTGACAGTCTGTGGAGATGTGTCAATGCAGCCAATGGAGTTCAGGGTGAGAGTTGACTCACCAGTCAGGGGTCTATCTAGGCTAAGGTGTATTGTGCCCTATCGATTAGCTCTCCACTGACTCATAGTTGTTATTAGATGTTTTTAGGTGCCTATGTTATATGCAACTACGTTTAATACCACAACTCCCAGCACTTGCATTCCAAGTGCCACTTTTGACCCTGGGCTCTTTGGAGGCTGCCCAATCTGCCAGAGCAGACCTGGGTACCCTTCCCAGATGAGCGTCAGTGAAACCTCTGGATACAATTCTGGCTTGCATTACAACTCTCTAGGATTTACTCTTACTTTTAGTGAGGGTGTGATTTCATTCCGTGTCATATGTTGCTCAAGCTGACAACTATGTGCCAGACATTTTTGCCTGGGGCAAGAATAGTAGAGACTTTCATGGCATTGTACATAGGCATGGGATTATGGCGTTTAGGATACTCCTAGAAACCCAGGCTTATGCATCTGCTATCAGCTGATCTGAATGAAAGTGATTAATTTATTTCTGGCTTGCTTTGCCTGAGTGTTGCAGGGGCCAAAAGGGATGAGTATCCTCTAAGGGTTTGTAAGGTGGGTTTGAGACTAGCTCCAGGCTTGTGCTGACGCTCGTTCCTCTTGATATACATGTGTGATGAAGCTCACCAAGCCCCCATCTCTAAATAAGTGCGTAGGCACTGGAGTATTCAGACCTTGCTTTGCACACCCTGAGCTTTGTTTCCTGAGACCTGGGCTTTGCCAGGAAGGACATAGCAACAGCTGTCTAACATGTGGAGAGAGAGTGGGAATCAGAAGCACAGCCAGAAGCAACAGCACTAGACCAGACCTGGCTGGCTGCTAGAGCCAGCCACATAACCTGATGTGGCTGGTTCCGTTTGTCACTGGCTGGGTGGGTCATTGCCATAACTAAAGCATTTATCTTGTCCCGGCTCCCGGAGCATCTCTCATGCCACAGATCTTCTGTGGACTTGACTTCAAAACAGTCTGGAGGAGGTTCTGACTCTTGCAGAGTTAATCTGCAGTTCTGCTCATGCTGGGACATGTAGATACTAGAGCTATGCAGATAATATGTGGGTAATAAAAGCAATCCCAAATGTTGTGGTTATTGCAAAGAACGCAAAACTGTTGTATTCCCTGTTTCTTCATACTTGCAGTATGCTAGTATGATAAATATGAATTACCAGGTAAGGATATGTTTTCAGTGTGGTTACTGAGGACTCAGCCATGTTATTTTCCTGACGGCAATAGGATCTGCATGACTAATTCCCTGAGAAATGAAAGGACAATGTTCTTCGTTAATAGTAGAGAGAAAGAAAACATTTGCATGGTGAATGCAGTGAATTTGTACGTGAATGTAATCGGCTTTGCTCAGTCTATTGCACTTAAATGATTTCTGTGTCTAGCATGCAGAGCGAAAAAACCATTTCAAAGCTCCTCACGAAAAGTGGCCAATCATTACTGCTACCCTGGGGACTAGCTGTGATAAAATTAATCATGATGAATCCGTGTGTTATCTATGGGACCATAATACACAGCTCTATGAGAATACCATTGAGTTGTATTTCAAAGTACTGCAGACTACTTTATATTTTTCTCTTCACCCACAGAGAACTTTTTCCTGTCACTAAAAATATCTTATTCACAACAACATCTCAGCTGACTATTTGCTACAGTGAAGTGGTTGGATTTTTGCTTTTGTTAAGGACACAACTGTGAACTCTTCTGATGTAAAATGACTTAACTATAAGCAAACACCAAACTATATGATCACTGAAGATATTAGAATCTTGGAATAATTTAAAAAATCCTACCAGTGAAGCTGTTCCCTCTAAAAAAGAATAAAAACAAAAGAAAGAAAGAAAGAAAGAATGAAAGAAAGAAAGAGAGAGAGAAAGAAAGAGAGAAAGAAAGAAAGAGGTAGATCAAGGGAAAAACTTATCTCTTCCTGTGTGATTGATCTTTTTCTCTTGCAATTGCCCTCTGACCTACAATAAATCATTTTAGAGTCTGTCAGGAAAATCTCTTCAATAGCTTTAGAGCTGGGAGGAGAAATGTTTTGTCTCTCAAAGTATTATCACACCAAACTTCCAAACAATTGCAGCTTTTCTGTTATTTTTCCCACATCCAATGAGATGATGGAGGAAGGTTTTTCCCCATGTTGATGTGATTTGATAGGGTCTAATGAATTTTGCCATCTGAAATCCATATACAGTTTTGATGCTGTAGGAAGTATGTAGAAGGAGAC